TTTTTGTGCATTAAATATCAGAAAATTGTTAAATTAAAAAAAAATACCATCTGTGTTTTCCTGGTACTATGGATGGGCAAATGTAGCCTTATGAAGCTTTGGGACTTTCTATTTGTGCCAAAAAAAAAAAAAAAACACTTGAAGCTTCAAGTGCAGCAAACGGTGGCATCTAGTGGTTTACAAAACTTACAGCAACCCTCCCACATGGGGCGAAGTGCCACAACACCTCTATGTTTTAAATAGTTTTTCCTTTTGTTTCATGTGCATGCAATTAAAGTTTAACACGTCTGTGTGCTATTATTAAATCTGTGATGCTTTTGTTCTGATGTGCTGCCTCAAATGTAGCTGATATTGTCAGATAATAATCCTTTCTCTAACCAGTTGCATTAGAAATTTACCCAACTGGTCTAATTTCCAATAAAGACAATAATGCTTCTTCAGAGCTCAGCACAAAATAGCTTTACTGTGACACAAAAACTGAGCTGGTCCCAGGAGCAGACGGAGCTGTCTCAATATTACATTCACCTTTCTGCTGCTCACGTTCCACTCCTGCTGCGGGTCTAATTGACAGAGCCCTTGTATTGTTTGCCCTACTCTGGCCACAAACTCAGAACACATTCCATGTGCCAACCTGCTCCTGATACCATTGTGTCTCATCCTCTGAACATCATGACATCACCACACCACAGATGGCAGATACACACATCAATCTGAAACAAATGCCAAATGCATACAATAGATTATGGCCAAAATGATAACCACAATTAATTTGATCAACATTGAGAACACAGTTATTGTTTTAAAAAGGAAAAAACATTTCTACTGCAGTTTCACACCTAAAATAACCAGAGCACTGCTTTCACTTCCATGTTGATGCATCAAGATAAGACTGGTCCTTAGTCACAGCACATCTCCTAGAAGCAAAATATCAATATTGTACTAAGCCCTTTACCCACGATTAAATCAAGCGAGCACTGCTTTCACTTTCATCTTGTGCTACATGCCTGCTAATTCAAATTTTTGCATCAAATGAAGACTTAGAATAACGTTCTTCTTCATCTGAATTCAGAGCTTCTCCTATATAAACATATCCACTACTGTACTGTTTATTTACAACAGTCACAGTACGTACTGCTGCAGTGTTGCTGTCAAGGATGTCTGAGTTGACGCTGGACAAGGACCAGGAGTCAGTGTTAACGATGTTATTCTCCTTGACCTTCATGCATTCATCATACTGCCGACTGCAGAGATTTTTCAGGTGGTTAAACAAGCGGCGTTGCTTTGCAGTGCAGACACAAGTCCAATACACTTTTTGCATATGATTTGTCGGCTCCTAAAACCGCAATACTTTCTAAACAACGCTTGATGAACAGATGACAGCCCATCAGCAGTTGCAACGTTTCAGTTAAGCCTTTCATCAGGTGCCTCTGCAGGGTGCCACGTAGCTCTTCAAAAGTGGAGGATGGCTGTTAGGAAGCACTTGATTTGATATGCAGCTGTGTTTACTACAAGCGGAGCATGCGTGTTAATATTGGAGTCCATTGTGTTCATGTAATTGGGGAAAGCAAAAAATGTAATTGTGATTTATATTTAATTACTTGTGCAGCCCTAGCTCACTTTTAGGATAACAAAAATATACAACACAATCTATTGAAAAGGTAAGCTTCCAAAGCAAAACAACCTTCAGAGTTTTGGTATCAGTTGCACATCTCTACCTGAAGCCCAAGTTGCTGTTTTCAAACGGTATGTTTAATCCAGTCCAAAAATCCAAAGCTATTCCGTTTATTGTCATGCATGATAGTATTTTAACATTCAAGAAGCATGAAACTTGCGAACGTCGGCTCTTTTGTTTATATAATAACTGGAATGATTCATCGATAACCAAATAGTTGGTTAATCATTGCAGCACAGACCAAGTGTGTTGAACATGCGCACTCACCTGCCCATCAACAGGTTCAATCTGCTGCAGTGTGGCCAACACAAACACAGCTGTCTTGCCCATTCCAGACTTGGCTTGGCACAAGATGTCCATGCCCAGAATAGCTTGTGGGATGCATTCATGCTGCACTAAAGGAAAAGCATAAAAAGAAGATTTAAGCCAGTGTGTACACATTTCATTAGAACAGCCAGTATTTCAAGTTGTTGTACAGTGTGTCCAGACATGCAGGAACCCTGCTAGTATCCTTACATGGGACACACAAATATATACAGATCCTGTAAGTTGTGTACAGGAAAAAACTTTCTAATGAAACTCCTTCACATCTACACACCCTCCTGTTTCTTAAATCCTCTTCTGCAATCCAATTCCCATCACCATCTGCCCACTTTTCTACCATGGGTTCTAGATGTTCTGCTTCCCACCTTAGGAACTCTCCCCCACATGACATTCACACTATTGACTCCCTTTCCACCTTCAAATACCGTCTGAAAACACACCTTTTCAAGCTGGTATATTTGGTCTGATTTAATGTTGACACACACTCAGTACGTTTACATGCACAGTTAAGCTGAGCTACTATTATAGTTCAACTAGGCCAGTTAATGGGACTACTGTCCTTGTCCCCGTATACACACACAGGAGGGGACTTACTCAAGTATGTCTGACTCCACTACAACAGATGGCAGTATGTCACCTTTCAGCTTGTTTGTATTGGACCTTTTGCCGGTTGACCCTTTTACGGCACAGACCAAACAATCAAGTGTCGTCCAGCTGTTCCGCCACTATTTCCTCCTCCTAAAATATTTAACTCCTTCAGCTGATCATCTGTCAGCTCGTCCATCCAAAAAGACACAGTTCTGTGTGCAGATTTTGCCGTGTTTATTACCAGCATCTTCTTCTGTTACTCATTTAATGCTATTTAACTTCCAGGTCAAGGCCTTGGGTGTAAACTGTGGAGCACGCCCAGAGCACCTAGGCCATTTTGGGGCTGGTTGACTGTATACATGCAGGAGCAATTCACCTCCCAATCGAGTTTATCTGGGTGTGTTAGTCTGACTTTAAGAAAATGAATAAGATTTCAGTTGGACTTTGTGTGGTGTTTACATGTATTTTAAAAGTCTGGTTTTAGTCGGACTGGCACAAATCTATTTTCTCTAATGTGATGCAAACATACTGACAGGGACTGAGTTGTTTGATTTTATGATCTATGGATACACTGCTGCTTATTATGACTGTGTCTTGTACAGTGTCCTTGATTGCTCTGAAAGGTGCCTATAAGTAAAATGCATTTAAAAGTAACTAACAATACCCCACTTGAACAAACGTGTTCGTCATATTTACTGGTTGGTACACACAGCCACTGAAGACAACCAAATGTCCCTCACCTTCAGATGGATGCTCAAAACCACAGTCGATGATGGCGCGAAGCAGCTCTGGCTTGAGCAGAAAGTCCCTAAAACCAGAGCTGTGGATGGAAACGTAGGACCCCTTCACCTCCTTCTTCCCTGCGGGCGCTGCGCTCTCAGGGGCTCCCTGAGGCTCCTCATCCTCTTCGTAGTCGAGCAGCTCGTTCTCAACATCGTTCTCTGCCATCGTGTCGGTCTAGAACAACATAAACAGAGAAAGAAAGTTACTATTCAATCATCGTCTACAATTGCTGGGCTCACACCCCCTTGCTGGGTTGACATGTGAGGCTGTTCACAGAGCCCAGCTGTTGTTGCCAATCTTTGTGCCAGGTATCACCAGATACATTTACATAACGTGTGAGCAAAGGTGTGTTTGTCTCCACGGATTTATTGCAAGATGATGATGAACAACGTGAACGCTTCACTGAGCATTACTGTGTGTACTCCGCACACCCATTGTAAGATATGAGGCCAGTGAGTGAGCTATCCGAGCTAACTTAATATGTGAATAACTGAGAGGGAAGTATTAAACTAGATATACACGAAAATCTGCCCTCTGGTATGCACATACAATATCTAATTAAACTCTGATCGAGCTTAGCTTTGGAGTTTCGCCAGCGCTGTCGCATTAGCAAACCGGTTAGCTTCTGAGCCAGTCACAATACTGGAATGCTATTGTGTTGCATAACTGTTGCTAACGTGGCAAGCTAACTTACTATACGGCCAAAACCCTTTTGCTAACTACCCAGCTGAACTACAGAAATACAGAGATAAAGTTTAAGTTATAATAAAGAAGACATTATCGTTGATATGAAAAGGCTACGCACTTACTGACTATGAACGAATGTGCGGAACAGCGGTGCGTCAAGCTAACCGACGCTACCGCTACGCTACAAAATGCTAGCTAGCTCAGTTAGCATCCTAAAGCAAACAATAAGGGAAGCTATTTCATTCAAGAGTAGCCGCTTCGTGACTTAAGCCATGTAAAGTAATTTTCGACTTCCTGGACGACAGGTGAATGTTTTGAAAACATTCTAGTTGCAACAATAAAATCGTATTCTTACCTTTACGGTGTTAGCTGCGCGTCCACCTACAGATCAAAACCGCATGGGGAGGAGGCCTCTGTTGGGTTATACGACTAACAGGAAGTCCCGCCTCCGCCGGAGAGCGTCGACATGATTGGTGAATTTAGAAGACCATCGGCAAAAGCATCCAGCGATTGGATGAAAAGTGTGCCGCAGTCCACCGCAGTTTAAAAAAGCGGGATACAGCAGTGCTAGGCTGTGGATGGAAGCCGACGAGGGTCATGGAGTTAAATAAATAATTGCGCACAATAAAATAAATGCATCACTATAATGCATAATATATACAAGTATATAATTGGAACCATTGAGCTTGAACAAAAGCATAATTACATTTGAGGCTTTCTCTTCAGCTCTGAAGGGCAAACTTTTTCAATTTTTTTAATATGTGGGACCAGTGCTTGGACTACATGCCCAAAAATGTCCATGATGAGGAATAATTTAGCCTGAAAAGAGTACCTAACAGCAAACTATACTAAACTATACTAATTAAGGGAACAAAATCAATCATAAAACACACAGATCAAGATAAAATTATATACAAATAATTGTGTTTATTGTTCTCTGGTGGTCATAGGTAAAGACAACAAATGCACGCTCATACACATTCAGTGGAATAACACATGAATCTTCCCGCAAGCCACTGATTGGCACTTCATTAGTTTAATTATTAGTGGCATAAAAATGTGCAGGATGTGTACTCTTTGGGCTAAAATGTAAATGAGACAGTCATGGCTGTTAAACCATGAAAAGAACCAATGGAAAAACAACATTCTTAAAAAACAACTAATGAGCATTTTGCCCAAAGTACGCCAACACAAATCCTGTTACATATCAGTATACAAAAGGTCTTCACTAACAGAATGTTATCAGTGTTAGCAGTAAGATAGTGAGTCTTATATCTGTGATTCCAGAGCAGAGGAGAAGCTCCACTGTGTGGGAGAGAAGTATGGGAAACTGTCGGACTCTGGCCGGGAATGACTCTCTGAGTATGTACCAGAAGGGGGGCAAGAACGGCTCAGGAGGTCCCTGACATGGGAAGGCAAAGTAAGAAACAGCCAGTCTTCCACCTGAAGACCACCTCCATGCAGGCTGGAGCAGCAGCCCAGTTCAGCAGGTAGTTCCTCCAGACTGTTGCTGCGCAGGTCCAACCTACACAGCTGACTCGAAGCTGCAACGCCCCTGGGTAATGAGCTCAGAGAGTTGTGTGACACGTTAAGGATGCGCAGCTCCAAACAGCTGCTGAAGAGCTGAGGGGGAAGGCTCTCTACTCTGTTCCCACTGAGGTCCAGCTCTGTGAGCAGCTGCAGTGCCTTCACCTCCACAGGCAGCACATCCAGCAGGTTACCAGCCAGCAGGAGCCTACGAAGACGGCGAAGAGTGAAGAGTGCTGGGGGAAGGCTCTGGAGCTGGTTGTTGGATAGATCCAGGAGCTCCAGGCCTCGCAGCACACCAACACTGGCCGGCAGTGCCAGAACACGGTTGTAGGCAAGACGGAGGCAAGACAGACGTCGCAGAGGAGCCAGGCTCAGCAGCTCCTCTAGAGTTCTCAGGTTATTATGCTGCAGGTCGAGTGTCCGCAGGTTGGTGAGAGCCAGCAGGGCAGAGGGCAGACGCTCTAGCTGGCAGTCCTGCAGCAGCAGCTCAGTCAGGTCCACCATCCGCTTCAAGCCTGTCAGCACAAGCAGTCTGGTGCCCTCGTTGAAGATCTCCAGCCTCACCAAGCTGCCTGCCACCTCACACAGCTCCCCAGGGATCCGCTGTAACATGCCCCGAATCACCAGCACACGGAGGTGACGTAGTTGGCGGAGGCTCCCCAGTGCCCAGCTGCGACCCACCCCACCGTCATTACTCAGGCGGCCAGAGAGGTGGAGCTCATGCAGGCTGCGGAGGGAGAGGGCCCAGCTGGGGATCTCTGACGGTTGAGTAAAGGTGAGGTGGAGGGCCTCGAGGCGTTCTTGGAGGACAGCAAGTGCGCTGGGATCCACCGCTGCTGTGCAGTGATAGAGGTGGAGCTCCCTGTGGTGGGAAGATACAATAAAAAACTTAATGTGCTTATATCCAGCAAAACCTGAAAATAGGAGATAGCATAGTTCATAATGAAATAAATATGTGCACACCCACATAGACTGTTGAGGTAAAAAAATGGGAGAAAAATGCATGTTTACCTACAGATCTAACAAAGAATTGATTGCTTTTATATTGATTATTTGAAGTGGAGGGAGGCAGTTTCATTTTGGTGTCTTTGATTATGTTGTAATTCAAGTGGTCTGAGAGAAAACTAGATATCTGCACCTCCTCTTGGCTCTGTTCTCAGGCTTTAGAAAATCTAGCCTGAAACAACACTTTGGCCAATCACAGGTCATTTCAGAGAGAGGGGGCGTTCCTGTTGGCTGTTCTACAAAAGCAGATGCAAGTGCACGCCAGATTCAATAGTGGGAAGTCCTGCAGAGAAAGCTGCTATTCAAGTATTGGCAACAACTGCCTACACTGCAAAGCAACTCAAAGAAGGAAAAAAGAGTCTCAAAGAGAGTCTGACAGTAAACGAAATAAAACAAGTGTCAATATAAATTAAGCATGTCAGAGATGGAGAGAAAGCATTGCTAATAGTTTAGCCTTATGCTAAGTGGAGCTAAAGGCTCACAGCTGCAGGTTCAAGATCACATTTATATAGCTAACATTAACTAGAGCCTCAAATCACAGTGTGTGCTTAATCTCACTCCCTGATCCTACAGATATCCTTGTTGGGAGGACACCAGCTCCAGAGACGGATGCCAGTCAGCACAAACCACAGCTCTAGGGGACTGGGCAGCCCTGACTTCCTGCTGGATTAGCAAACTTTCTGTTGCTGCCATTACACAAGTTAGACCGGTGTTGCTGCTGGCTGCCAGCCTGCTGTGACACCCAGTGCTGGGGGTTTGTGCTGACCAAATGACAACCAAGGGTCCACCTCCTGAGCTGCTGCCCGCTCTCCTCCCAGGGAAGCAATCCACAGTGATGAGGAGCGAGGCAGGGGGACCATGGGGTGACTAGCAGCTAATTCTTATCTAAATTGATAAACAGAGAGGGAGACAATGGGGAAAGGAGGGGCTGCAGATGTGATGTGTGAAACTCTACAATGAAATATGATTAATTAAATCAATATATGCCTGTGGTTGTCTGGTGGGAGGGGCTTAGGACAGAGACAGGAGAGCTGCAGGAGGAGGGTGTATTTTTTCGGTCTGTTGTCTCTTTGCGTTTCCAGATTTCTGCGTACCCCAGCTTTAAATGCATCGAAAAACAATGTGTGTGTACATCACAGTGTTCAGAGTTATCCATATACATTATTTTAAGTGTCAAGTATAACCTTTTATTTGATGTGCATTGTTTAAATGTATAAAGTATGACTTCACTACTGTAAAACTCACCTGAGCGACATCATGTTGGACACCTGTGCAGTAAACCTGGCATCTGTGATGAGCTCCAGTTTGAGGACCTGAAGCTGGCTGAGGTTGAAGAGGGCAGGAGGGAGGCGAGGCAGGGCCACCAGCTGCAGTCTGGAGCAGCCCTCTGCATCCACGCTAGTCATGGCATGCAACTTCTCCTCCCCCCAGCGCCTCTCCAAGCTTTCCTCCATCAGCCTGCTCTCACTGACAGGCGACAAGAAAACGGACAGACGCTGGGCCAGCAGAGGATCGTACTGGTCTAACATGTGTAAAAGGAAAGCCAGGTCATTTCTCAGGTCAGGGACATCTCTCAGGGAGCACAGCTCTTTCAGCGAGTGGAAGGAGTACTGCCGTAGAGAGCTACGTAGGGCACAGAGAACAAAAACAACATGAGAAATTTATCACACAGAATGTAATGTCACCCAAAAAACAGAATTACACTAATCCTATAATCAGGCCTCTGGTATGCTCAACATCATGGGCATTATTATGTTTAAAGCCCTTTGAACAATTACAGCCTGTGTAGTCTACTTCAACTCTCAACAAGCTATTAATCAAAGATTTAATATGTTTATCTTGTTCAAACTGTGACAAATGATTTATTCATAAGCCTGTATCCTATTTGACCGTATAACTGTCGTACATTCCCCTCACGCTGTCTGCACATTTTACATGTTTTAAACCAGGTACTACAAAGCGCTGCTGATAAGTTTCAAAGGCTTATAATCAAATATGAAAATCAACGTGTAGGAAATAGAAACCTGCAGCAATTAATTCATGAATCTAGAGGAAGTGGAGCAAAATTAGTATTTATTTGCAGTCTAGTCATCAGAAGAAAAAACTGCTGGCATACTACTTTTCTTTGATTCTTTAATTTCATACTTAACACGTCAACGCTTCTAAAGTGATGTAGTATACGAACTGACTTTGTCCCCTGGAGGTGGAGGGGATGGTGGATGGTGTGTCACCCATGCAAGACACCTGCCAA